GCAGCCCGGGGCCGTGGCCGGGGCGCAGCCGGCCGCCGCCGAGGGGCGCCTGCCACGGCACGGGTAGGCAGCACGGCGCGCAGCCCGGCGGCATGGGAGGCCGAGCCGCAGTCGAAGTCAGCAGACGCTGCTTCGCCTGAAAGAACCCATCAACGCACCAGATGACCGTGTCTCTAGGGTAGAACAGAACACGGAGGGAATCTTTCATCACGCGGTGACAACTTTTGACAAAGTTATTGTGCTAGCAAACTGAAAAGAAAAATTTATTTTACCAGGCGTCCCATTGTTCCCAATTGCACAAGGTATGCTACCAATCAAAAGAATTCATAAAAAGCAAATATTCTAGAAAAGCAATAGACAAAGCAATTGAGTTTCAATTTTTGTTGTTGTTATTGCTACAGTTTAAACAATGTTGGGCCGATGATGCTTATTATTTCCGGGCAATCAACTATGAAATGGCTCCTACAACAGTTGTTTCATAAATAATCTTACTATGCTTCCTTTGGGACAAGGGTTTATGATTAAGGCCGATCTCCCGCAGATGTCATCCAATCCGGGCATGTGCTCACCTGCTTGTCCTCGGCTGGGGCACCTGCAACAGAAGAAGCGACGGTATGAGTACAGAACAAAGAGAGAGATGGAGAGAGTGAGGAAGAGAGTATCACTGAAAACCTTTGATATGAGTGAGATGTCGTGCTCGAAGTGAGTGAGACAATTTTGCCTCGCTCGATCGGAGCGATGAATATAAGGCTCACTCTATTTGACGCCATTTGAGTAACATATGCGCCGAATACTCACTCTGATGGAGTAAGACAATATCTCAGACCGAAAGGCACACAGTTCAGCCGCCCGTTCCAAGACTAACGCAGTTCAGCCGCTCGCTCAATCCAAGACTCACGCAGTTGCAATTCCTATCTCTAGAGTCTAGAGCGGTGAACTGCGTGTCTTTCGAAACGCGCAGCTGAACTGTGTTAGTCTTGGAACGGGCGCCGGAACTGCGTGCTTTTCTGAACGCGCGGTGGGACTGCGTGCCTTTTAGTCTAAGGTATAGATAGGTTTTCCTGACCTCGCCCAATTGCAGTGGGGAACCTCACTCTAATTGGGTGAGGACCACAAATTATGACTCAAATTGAGTGAGTGTCACCTCACTCTCAGGAGAGCGATATTTTTTGTGCCACTGATCTCCCTCTCTTGAGAGCAAGATATCTGACTCTAGCATTTTCAGTATACTGTACAACATTCCGGAAGCAGCCCCTTTTCTTGCTGCTCCGCGCGCAACGCTCGTGGCAGAAACGGTCTCGCGGGGTTGTGTTGGAGCTGGAGGAAGACGCTCCCACAAAATGGCTGGCTGGACGGGCATCATTCGCGATGAGATGAGAAACAATGCAGTCCAGAACAAAGCGCGGGGCCCTAG